AGATGTCTTGCTATTTGATTTTGAAGCTTTAAGTATTTGCATCCATTAAAACAATTTCAGGTTGCTATGCACGATGGCAGGTTATACAGATAATTTCAAGAAGCAAAATATACTAGGGTTAATTTTTTAAATGTGGCTTAGGGTGCTGCCTGTACTGCATATTTTCTCTTGTACATAGCTGTGATGTTTTGATCTGTATTCTTGTTGTGCCAATGACCTCTGTGTTAGATCTGTGATGCATTTTCCCTTCTCGATTTGTATTATGTCCTTTAACAGAAAGCACAGCTGACCACAAGCTAACTGGATAATTGCTGTTTGCTGCTTGTTACATGCACACAGGAATGGAAAGTGAGCTCCTTTCCCCTTCCCCAGAGCCGTTTGACCTCTCCCGACATATACCAGCAGCCGTTCATTTCCAAAATGCAGTCCAAAAGGCCTTTAAAGATATAGTGGAGACCTTTTTTGTGTGTGTACTAGTCAGTTTATTGACACTATTTGAAACTTTAAATACAACAGAAAGGTTTTTTGTGGAGAGAAGTCACCAAAACAGTTTTTTGAAATGTTGCTGAAACTAACTTGTGTTTAAAAATTAAAAGGATCATTATTGTCCTTATTAAGTAGTTGGGAGAAGGTAAACTATAATTTAATCCCATTTAAAGAATAGAAGTATATTTCTTTTGTTTTCTAAAACAATAAGCCAAAATTATGAATTTTTATAAATTAATTTGAATATTGAATAAATATTTTTCATAACAAAATAAATGTAATACACTATATGAACAAGGCCAAGAACAAAAACTACATGATCCTCTCAATAGATGCAGAATAAGCGTCTGACAAGGTCCAACACCCATTTATGATAAAACCCTACAGAAAATTGGGATAGATGGTCTTTATCTCCAACTGATAAAAGCCATCTATGACAAACCAAGAGCCAATATCATACTAAATGGACAAAAACTGAAAACTTTCACTCTAAAATCAGGAACAAAACAAGGACACAAGACAAGACTGTCACCACTCTTGTTCAATAGTTCTGGAAACATTAGCTAAAGCAATTAGACAAGAGAAAGAAATAAAAGGAATAAGGATAGGAAAGGAAGAAGTTACATTATCATTATTTGCAAATGACATGATGCTACTCTACATAGAAGACCCCAAAAGCTCACCAAAAGACTTTTAGATTTGATAACCAAATACAGTGCCATAGCTGGATACAAACTCAACATTTAAAAGTCAACAGCCTTCCTGAACACCAATAACAGACTCAGAGAGAGAAATCAAAGAAGCAATCCCTTTCACAATAGCATCTAAAAAAAATGAAAAATACTGAGGAATCAATCTAACAAAAGAAGTAAAAGACCTCTACATTGAAAACTATAGTACTCTGAAAAAGGAGACTGAAGAGGATATCAGAAAATGGAGATATCCTTTGTTCTTGGATAGGAAGACCCAATATAGTGAAAATGGCCACCTTTTCAAAATTATTATATAGATTCAGTGCAATCCCAATCAAAATCCCAACAGCATATCTCACAGAATTAGAAAAAAAAAATCCTAAGTTCATTTGCAACCAGAAGAGACCTAGAATAACAAAAGCAATTCTGAGCAACAAAGGCAAAGAAGGGGGTATCACAATCCCTGACTTTAAATTATACCACACAGCTACAGTGATAAAAACAGCATGGTACTGGCAAAAGAACAGACCTGGAACAGACTAGAAGATGAAGAAACAATTCTAGACATATTCAACCACCTTATCTTTGACAAAAGAGTCAAATACCTTCACTGGAAGAAAGATAGCCTCATTAATGAATGGTGCTGGCAAAACTGGCTTTCCACATGCCAAACTTTGAAACTAGACCCATATCTTTCACCTCACACTAACCTAAAATCAAAATAGATCAAAGATCTAAATATTAAAACAGAAACACTAAATCTGTTAGAAGAGAGAACAGGTAGAACACTTGAGGACACAGGAGTAGGCAAAGACTTCATGAACAAAACCCAGACCGCATGGGAAATATGACAAAGAACCAAGAACTGGAACTTCATCTTTTTAAAAAGCTTTTGCACAGCAAGAAAAACTACCAACAGAGTGAACAGACAACACACAGAGTGGGAAACATTTTTTACCAGCTATTCAGATGAATGACCATTATCTAGAATAAATAAAGAACTCAAAAAATATCAGAGCCCCCAAATTTAAAGACCCAATGCAAAAATGGGCATCTGAAATAAAAGACACTTCTCAGATGAAGAATTAGAAATGGTAAATAAATATATGCAAAAATGTTCATCATCACTGGTGATTCGTGAAATTCAAATTAAAATAACGCTGAGATTCCTTCTCACTCCAGAAAGAATGGCTGCTATCATGAAATCAACCAATAACAAATGCTAGCGGGGCTGTGGGGAAAGAGGAACCCTGCTCCACTGCTGGTGGGAGTGTAGACTGGTGCAATCACTGTGGAAATCAGTATGGAGATACCTCAAAGAACTAGGACTGGAACTCCCATTTGACCCCGCTATTCCACTGCTGAGGATCTTCCCCCAAAATTTAAAAGAATCATACCACAGTGATATATGTGCACCCATGTTCATAGCAGCACAATTTGTAATAGCCAAAACTTGGAAACAGCCCAAATGTCCATCAACTGGAGACTGGATCAAGAAAATGTGTTTTTTTAATAAAATGGAGTACTACTCAGCCATAAAAAATGAGAAATTAGAGACATTTATTGCTAAATGGATGCACATCGAGGCGATACTCTTAATTGAAATAAATAGGACACACATGTATAAATACCGAATTGTTTCTCTAGTGTTAGAAACTGAAAGTGTAAATAAGGGCTAAAGGGTATAACAGATAATGTGAAATAGGAAGAAAAGGGGCAAAGAAGAAGTGGGAGGGGTAGGGGAAAGGAAAGAAGGGAATGGAATTAATATGAGAAAATGAAAAAAGGGAAACAAATTCTTTGTAAATAGGGATGGAGGGGTTGAAGGAAGGGCAGCAGAAGGGAGAAAAAATAAGAACCAAGAGAGTATGAACCAAGAGAGTATGTAAAGGTGCATGTCTCCAATGATGAATGTCATTATATTGTATACCTAAAATGTACTAATAAAAGGATATACAAAAAAAAAAAAAGAAAGAAATGGGAAAAAGAAAAAGGAACACTTCTCCACTGTTGGTGGGAGTGTAGACCAGTGCAACCACTGTGAAAATCAGTGTGGAGATTTCTCAAAAAACTAAAACTAGAGGTTCCATTTGACCTAGCTATACCTCTTCTTGGTATCTTCCCAAAAGAATTAAAAGAATCATACCACAGTGATATATGCACACCCATGTTTATACCGGCACAGTTTGCAATAACTAAATCTTGGAAACAACCCAAATGCCCAAAAACTGATGAGTGGATAAGGAAGATGTGGTTTTTTTATACAATAGAGTACTACTCTGCCATAAAGAAGGATGAGCTTCAGACATATAGCTAAATGGATGGACCTTGAGACCATACTCTTAAGTGAAATAAATCAGACACCCATGTTTAACTACTGTATTGTTTCTCTGGTGTGAGAAACTGAAAGTGGAAATAAGGACTGAAATGTATGTTGGGAAATGGGAAGAAAGTGTTCAAATGGGAAGGGAAAGAAGGGAAGAGAGAAAGAGAAAAGAAGGAAGGAACAAGAAAAAAAGTGAAAATAGAAGGAAAAATGGAAACAAAGCTTTTGTACATAGAAAGGGAGGGGTCTTAAAGGGTGGACTGGGATAAAATAAAATTCATTAAAAAAATTTTATTACAATGAAAGACACATCGCCATTAAGCTGCCTCAAAATACTTGCCTTCACTTCAAATATGCTTATCCAACTGCTCTTGCCACTTTCATGAGTGTCTTCACAAAATCTGATAAAAAATACAGTGAATGTTGCTGTCAAGTGCCAAGTGCCACTCAACAGAAAGGCAGGCCTGTAAAAACATTCCGGTGTGTCCTTATTCACCTTATTCCCCAGATGTGGCACTGTGATTTCTGGATCTTCCCCAAAGTCAAAATGACCATGAAAGCTTATGGCTGGCATGTTAGAAATGGAAGTGAGCAGTATGAGAAAAGCCCCCCAAAAAGGTTAGTAAGGACAAATAATCTAAGATCTTGGATGTGAAGTTGAAGAGCACAAATTTTATTCTTTAGCAGTGGAAATCTAATGAGAATTTCCAATAGGATAATGATATGATAACATTTACATTTTTAAAAGGTTGTAGTGGAAAAGACTGAAGGAAAAGCACAACAGTTTGGAAATTACTGTCAATATCATCTCTGGGTCAAGATTAATCTACCTCAGTTTAGACAACAGACAAATTCTATTTTCAATCCTCTAAAATAAACTTTTCCTTCTAACTCTAAAAAAAAAAAAAGACCATGAAAGCTAAACATTTTGAATCAGTGCATTACAATGAAGCAGCCACAACAGTGCAACCAAAGACACTCAAGAAACGACTTGCAGACTGCTTCAGAAAGGGGCAAGAAAGATGTGATAAGTGTGTTTAAAGCAAGAGGGAATATTCTGATTGGGATTATTGGTAATGTGTCATTTACTGTGAAAATGGTTTTTTGGGTTTTGTTTTGTTTTTTTTTTTTTGGTACCGAGGATTGAACTCTGGACCTTGCACTTGCAAGGCAGGCATGGCCCCACTGAGCTAAATCCCCGACCCCGAAAATGGTTTGTTGTTTTTTTTGGTTCCGGGGATCAAATTCTGATCCTTGCGCTTGCGCAGCTGGCAGCAAAACCACTGAGCTAAATCCCCGCCCTCCCTCCCGAAAATGTTTTTAATTTAAACATTCACCAGGTTTTTTTTAATCACATCCTGTATTATAATGACTCAAGCAATTTGTCAGGAATTTGTAGTATTACCTGTTAATCTGTTAAGACACAGAAAACTTTCCAATGTCATATATATCATCATTGTGGAAATACTACTATTCAAAGTAATACTATGACATACCTCTTTCTTTTCTTCTTCTTGATCTACTCCAGAATGAATGGCCAGGGAAGCTTGGAATTCAGTGCTCAGTCCTGACCGATACTTATAACCCTGTTAGAAAGTCATCATACAATGTCAAAATTACCTTTTTAAAGTTTTTATCTATTCTTCTTATCCAACCTTGACTTGATTGCATTAAGCAAGCAAACAAACAAAAAAGCATGTAAGAATAAAAGCAAAAAAAGAATGAACGGGGCCAGGGATTTAGCTCAGTGGTTCCGCTGCCTGCCTCACAAGCAGAAGGTCTCAAGTTCGATTCCCTAGTACCAAAAAAAAAAAAATGAATGAAAGGAAGAACTTTCAGAAGCAAAATCTTTTTTTTTTTTTTTTTGGTACCGGGGATCAAACTCGGGACCTTGCGCTTGCGAGGCAGGAGCCAGAACCACTGAGCTAAATCCCCGGCCCCAGAAGCAAAATCTTAATAAGCTAAAGAAAAGGTATCAGAAGGGCCAGGGATTTTGCTCAGTGGCGCAAGTTCTTTTACATAGAGGTCACTTGGAATCATTCTGTCATAAATGTGCTTAGAAATGAATATAGGATATAAAGCTAGATACCTTAATATCTCAAATCTACAGTCACCTTCAATCTATACAACTCTTAATTGGCATGAGTATAAGAGCCTGGAAATATTACATCAATTTTCTGGCATGGTATGGAGGAAACTGGGGCTACTTTCTCACAATATTTATTAGGAAAGCCTTATGATGACATAAGGTAATATACATACTTGGATGTTATATAGGTCAAATTATGATCCATAATTTTTTAGAAATAAAAAGTTAAGTGTTTTATCTCTTTAAAAGTTATTTATCTTTCAGCAAGGTTACAGGATATAAGATGAATATACAAAAATCAACTGTATTTCTATCCTTGTGATGAATAATCTGGAAACAAAAATTAAGAAAAAAATCCATTTACACTACTATAAAAATAAAATACTTAGGAATAAATTTAACAAAGGAAGTGTAAATTTTATACTCACAAGTCTATAAACCATTGGTGAAAGAAATTTAAAAACACCTAAATAAATGGAAAGACCACTCACCTTCATGACTTGAAAGACTAAATATTGTTAAGATAGCAGTACTCCCCAAACTGATCAATAGAGCTAATGCCCTTCAAGGTGAGCCGAGACCAAAATGAAATGAGACCTCTCTAAAAGAGCCTACAACTCTGGTGAGTCACCCAACCTTACAAACAGGGAGATTGCTAGATCCCAAAAGACAAGAAGCAATGAGTATACACTGTAATAAAAGGAGCTTCAGTAAAAAGAAAAATGTTCCCATGCTTCCAAGGGGAAATTACATGGTCAAGCAAAAACCATAACCTCTCCTGACAGATGACATAATTAGCAAAAAAACAAAACAAACAAAAACCAAACAACAAAAATCCAAAAACTACAAGAGCTAAGAGGCTCTGCCCAAGCCCCAAAAACAATTCCTAAAGAGCTTAAACTGACCTTCACAAATATTTACATATTTGTAATGTAATATATATTCACACACACATATATATGCATATACACACATATATATACAGCGAGAGAGAGAGAAAGAGAGAGAATAGTATTAAAAGCTAGGCTACATATAAAAAGGAGGCACCAAATACTGCACCAGTCCCTGCTGACAGTGTCCATTAAAACTATAACTCATAGCCATAACAAGTTTTGATTATTAATCTTAGTAGCTGTATCAAAAACATTAACAAAAATACATGCTGGGCTCTTAGATAAATGCCCACTTGTAATACATTTGGGCCACTGTAGTGGATATTTCTTCCACAAAAAATGATTAAACAAAGCTTTAAGATTTTATGAAACATCTACAAAGTGCAGTGATAATTTTAAAGCTTGGTGCCAGGTCTAATGTCTCTCAATGGCCAATAAAACTCATCAAAAAGTTCATAAAATATTTTTAGAACCACAATTAATACTCAGATACAAAAACCCCCAGAAATCCTAACTTACCTCAGACTCCTAAAATTCCTATAATAAAAGATAACCATAATTCACAAATAAATATTTTCAGGTTTGAGATAAATATATCTGACTAACATCTACTCTGAGACAACTGAACCAATACCTGTTCGTTAAAAACAAAAACTCATACTTACGATAAATGGGACAATGCCACCCAAAATATAAGCTGGATTCCTACACAGAGCTATAATCACCCTATTATGTTAAAATGCTGGCCTGTTTGCCACTGACTAAAAGACAAGAGCTGAGATAAGATGATAAGCCAATGGCTCTATGGCACAAACCTAAGGCCTTACTTGCCTCCAGGGTGGATAAAAAGACATACATTACAATACCCATGGGTACAAGGGTGCTGGGTTAAAATCACAGATTGGCCAGCCAACCTCCCAGTCTTGCAACACCAATAAACCAGATCAGTTTTTCACTTGTATGATTATTTGGTCTCTCTCTTTATTCCCCAACTAAGACTTAGAAATATAATGGGGCACACTGAATCTCTTACTAACTATACCTAAAAGGCACTAAATGACACTACAAAGTGCCATACTTTAGGATATCATTTTCTGAGCCCAAATAGTACTCAAAGCATTCTACAGATTTAACATAATCCTTATCAAAATCCCATGGCATTTTTTCATAAACACTAAAGTCCTTCCTCAAATTAATATTGGATCTCAAGGGATTACAAATAGCCAAATAATTCTGAGAAAGAAGAATGAAGGTCTTACACTTCTTGATTTTAAAACTTATTCCAAAGCTACAATAATCAAAACGGCATGGTACTGGTATAAATACAGGCTTAATAACCAACAGAATAGAATCAAAAGCCCCAAATTAAACCCTGATAGATGGTCAACTGCTTTTGACAAGGGAGTCAAGATCACTCAATGGGGAAGGGACAGACTCTTCAAAAAATGGTATTGGAAAAATGGATAGTCATATGGAAAGGAAAAAAATTCAATGCCTACCATATACAAAAACTTACTCAAATGGATTAAAGACCTAAACATAAGAGCTAAAACTATGAAACTCTTAGAAGAAAAGATAAGAGAAAAGCTGTATGACACTGGATTTGGCAATTTCTTAAATACAATACTAAAAGCACAGGTAACAAAATAAAAAATAGAATGGGAAGGGGAACAAGAGATGGAAGAAAAGGGGAAGAGGGTAGAAGGGGACATAAAAAGAATTAAGATGTATTATGTACCTGTGCCAACTCCTTATGATGAATGTAATCATTATGTAATGCAAAACTTTAAAAGAAAAATTTTTTGCACATTAAAAGACCCTACCAATGGAGTGAAAGGCAACTGAGGAAATCAGAGAAAATATTTGCAACTCAAATATCTAATAAGGGTTTAGTATCCAGAACACATAAAGAGCTTCTACAAAAACAAAAAACAAAAAACCCTGATTTAAAAATAAGTAAGGGGGGCCAGGGATTTAGCTCAGTGGTTTCGCCACCTACTGTGCAAGCACAAGGACCCAAGTTTGATCCCCTGTACCAAAAAAAAAAAAAAAAAAATAAGCAAGGGGGCAGGGATGTAGCTCAGTGGCACTGTGCCTGCCTGGCAAGTACAAGATCCTCAGTTCGATTCCCAGCACCAAAAAAAAATTTAAAAAAAAACAAAAAAAAAACTAAGTTAAAAATAAGTAAGGGCTTGAATCAAATTTTTCTAAAGGATACATCAAAATGGCTAATTATCATATGAGAAGATACACAATTTCAGAAATCATTACAAAATGCAAATCAAAATCACAATGAGCTATCACATCTCCTTTATAGGAATGCCTATTATTATTATTATTGTTGTTGTTGTTTTCTTTTTGGTATTGGGGATCAAACTCTGGTCCTTGTGCTTGCAAGGCAGGCGGCGGCACCACTGAGCTAAATCACTAGCCCCGGAATAGAATGGGATGTACCTCAGTGGTTCTGCCGGCTGCCTCTCAAGCGCAAGGACTCGAGTTCAATCCCCAGTACCAAAAAGAAAAAAAAGAAAAGAACAAGAGTCCAAAGTTTTCAGCCAGGGATTTAGCTCAGTGGTTTCACCACCTGCTGCGCAAGCGCAAGGACCCGAGTTCAATCCCTGGTACCAAAAAAAACAGAAACAGAAAATAGCAAGTATTGGTGATGATTTAGAGAAATTAAAATAGAACCCTTGTGCAATGCTAGTGGGACTTTTAAAAGGTATAGTCACTTTGGAAAAGAGTACGGCAAGTCCTCAAAAAATTAAAAATAGAATTCTCAGCCACGTATGGTGGCACAAACTTGTAATCCCAGCATTTGGGAGGCTGAGGCAGGAGATTCAAACAAACAAACAAACAGAATCCCCATGTGATTCAGCAATTTCACATTTGTGTAAATACACAAAAGAATTTAAAGCAAAGACTTGAAATAGTATTTGTATTCCTGAAACTGATGAATGGGTTAACTTCCTCAAAGTTTCTGTTTTGCCTCAGTCCCCCAAATAATTAACCAATAAAGGCAGCCTTACCTGTAGAGTAGAATAAGGAAAAACATCAAAGAACACCATATGCAATCTTAATTAGGTTTTTTAGGTTCACATGAACCAGGAATGGCTAAACACCAGGTGAGCAGAGAGCATGTCAAAATTTTGATCGATCACTGCAAGTATTAATGACCATTCTAGTGTCCACTTAGCTGTGCTTCAAATTAGACTGCTCAGAAAACCCATATAAACTTTGTGCCTGCAACCCCTGGAAGGTGGAATTGGAATGAAAGCCCTTCATCTTCCTCTACCTGACAGCTTGTTACCAACAGAGCTCTTTCTTCTCCCATCACTCTGTCCCTTGAGTTATGGCTTCATCAAGAAGCAGTGGAGCCAGGGATTTAGCTCAGGGGCGTGGCGCCTGCCTAACAAGGGCAAGGTCCTGAGTTCAATCCCTAGAACCAAAAAAAAAAACAAAGCAGTGGAACTGGACATTTCATCATTGCATACTGATGTTCACTATATCATACATAATAGTTGAGGTGGAAACAACCTAAGTGTCCGTCACTGGATGAATGGATAAACAAAATACAGGGTGTATACATACAGAGACACACACACTG